TTGTGTAATACCCTGTTCAGCTAACCTTGGTATTAAGATTATCAGATTAATCAAATAGCCATAAATAGTACATTTTTTCATGTTATACACGCTTTATACAGTGTTTGTAGACCTACAGTGAAAGACAATGTGGTGTGGTTTAATCGGGTTTAATGCTCAAAAATGATTTTCTGGTAGTTATTGGGATAGTGTTGGGGGGGGGGCATGCACAAGTGCGAGGAGACCTCTTGTCTTCCACTTGTCGCCTGGTCCGTTGTCCCGGGCACAGTAACGCACTGCACACGCGCTGTTAGTTATAGGAGTTAAAATGCTTCAGTACCCGTAAGACTGCTGTGTGTACTCGTTGAAGCAGTGGTTCCCGGTATCCCCCCCCCCATCTGCCCTCCCTACCGCTCCTTGTGGTACTACAGAGGTGTAACGAATGTAACGTTAGTGACGTGGCGCAGCGTCTGTACTAGACGACGCCAGGTACCAGGAGCTCAGCGGAACCTCGAAGAACTCGGGCGGGGCCTTCCTGCCCCACCGGTCTTTACTCCCTCTCACCGTTTAGATCGTGGGTCGCTCATAGTTTCTCAGTACTCAGAAGCTTGTGTCGTGTGCTTTAAAACGCAAAGTGCGCCCGTATGGCTAAGGGGACCGGGGCCGGCGCCGCTGGTCTGGTGCTCTCGAGAGGCGGGGGAGACTTCCTCGCCACTTCGGACCGATATTACATTTCCATAGGGGAGGGCGGGATTGTATTTCATAGTAACGCAGGGCTCATGAAAGTCAGTGCGCCTCGGTGCCGCCCCGCGCTGTGTCGTTGGCAACGCATCGGTGCGCCCGTGGGTAGGCAGCCCATATGACACCTCTTGCCCGCTGGTGGCGGAGTGCGGGTGCTGCTGGGCTGGGACTGGAGGGAAGCGCGGACCATTCACGAGATTGCAGCTAATGCTTTCTTTCCCTGCAATAACAAAGATGTAGCACTAAAATGATTTCAATGTGTTGTAAATGCATTAAAAATCAGCACCTCTTGAATGACATTGTGACTATCCGACTTAAGATAACTAGGCTATGTGACCCAAGGTTTTTGATACCGAACTGTGCTAAATTTTCACACATTTGGACATTTTTGTGCCTTCCGAAGGTTTTTAAATTCTAGGGACGCATTAAGTCCAGCTAAGCAAAGTGTAGCTGGTCACTTCGTTTACGGACTGGGTGGTCCTGTTTGTCTTACGAACGTCTTTGGTACTTTCAAATAACTAAGAGTTTGCGTATTACAACCCAAGAAAAATCACTTTACAATATAGTTGTCAAGAGTGACGTGGTCCAGCTACAGAGCTAGTGGAGAGCCGGCCTTTTTTTGTCCTTCCTGGTAGTGCGCTGGCTTTCTGGCTAACCTGCACTCTTCCTGTACGCATACACCGAATGCAACTTCTAAAAATCGACTCGAAAGCGTGTTACACCCTAGCGGCCAGCTGCAACCGTGTTAGGGGACCATCCAGAAAGATCGTACGTCCGTTATTCAGCGTTACGAAACTTAAAAAGTTCAACCCTATGCGAGCTCTCATAGCGCCTGGTAGGTAGGCAACATCTTGCCTGGAATGCATACGCGTACTGCAGGGTGGCCTACCTTGAGTATCACAGGCGCCTAGCTCGCGTACTTCACCGAATGAATCTTAGAAAGACGGACGTACTTTCTGGACAATCTCTAAGTCAGCAAAATGAGAATCCAAAAATTAAGAAAACACCTTACAAGGGTGAAACACGTTGTTAAGCACATTCATGTGCACCCAGTTGCATACTTTACTTGTCAGTGTACAAAGTTATTTCCCGTTAGTGTACAAAATATTATTTAAGTGGTGGGGACTCGATTCGGTTTGGGGGAGGGGGGTCTTCTTAATGGGAGAATGATTCGCGCCACTCTCCACTGTACCGGCCGGTGCACTGCAAGGTACAGCGGATCACGTGGGTGCGTGTCACGTACAGGACGAGCCTCAGGCGGGCTGTAGTTGTACAGCCCTAAAGACTGGCGTCAGCGTTTCATCCAAAATCTTGGTGTATGTCTTTTGTAATTGACTATTGTTTCTAGTTTCGAATGTGGTGCATTTTTTTTCTAAATTAGCCTGAAGAAGAATAATGTAGCACGCCCTCTCCCCAATTCCTATTTCCTGGAACGTTCAGCCATGCCTTTGCGAAAGTAATAACTTAACTAATTACCGCGACCTACGTGCAACGTGCACCTAGGTTGAGCCTGAGCCAATAAGGGGGCCGAAAATGTGTCGCAACTGCTACATGTAACTACTACACAACATCGGTTGCTCGCACTCTGCACCTAAGGTATTATTTAGTTTAATGTATGCATATAATCACTGGCGGATGTGAACAATTCAAAATTCACGACGCAACCTGTACAAAGAAACCGAAGGCAACGCCACGTTTCCTACGAACCAATGCTTTTGTATTTGCGGGGCAATGCTTTCTAATTACGTAGTGTTCTGTGTGATTGCAAAGAAAGTTCGCTTTCCATTACAATTCTTCCATTTCATTTTATACCAAGCAGCCTGTAGAATGTGCACTAGAAAAACAAAGTTACTAAGTCATGCATTTCCTGGGGTGCTAAATAAATTTTCAGTGTAGTGCATTCATACAGACACAAAAGAACCCTAAAGGTGGTAAAAATTGACTTTGGCAGTTTTAATGCATTTGTTAAGGCACTAAGCCTGTTTTTCCAGTGTTCCGAGTAGGTCTTGATGTTGACGTGTTAAACGTTTTCATCTCACAAAGGAGTTGCTAATTTTTAGCTGAGGGCTGTTTACTTTGTGTAATACCCTGTTCAGCTAACCTTGGTATTAAGATTATCAGATTAATCAAATAGCCATAAATAGTACATTTTTTCATGTTATACACGCTTTCTACAGTGTTTGAAGACCTACAGTGAAAGACAATGTGGTGTGGTTTAATGCTCAAAAATGATTTTCTGGTAGTTATTGGGATAGTGTTGTAGCGGCCTGTTTATATTGAATTTGAAATTTTGATAAATCAATACGCAATTTAGTCAGTTCTTATTTCGTTTATTTTGCCCTTTTCTTACAGCAACTTTTAGGTCTTTCGTACAGGGTGGTGGGGTACTTCTTGCCGTGGACTTACTCGGAGACCTGGCAGGGCTTCACTAGGGTGTCGTACTTTTACTGCTCGCTGGGGACCTTTTCCATCATGGGCTCAATGGCAGGCTGCTTCATGATCTCCTTCATGACAGGCTCTGCAGCGGGCTGCATGACCTTCTCGACGGTCTCAGTGCTGGGCTGCACCTTTTCCACGATAGTCTCCATGGTGGGCTTGACGGGAACGTCCTTCTCGACCACCACCTCCTTGATGATCTTCTCGGTGATCACAGGAGTGCTCGGAGCTGCGTAGTAGGCAATGGGGTCCACGTACTGGCTGAAGTAGCTGGGGTAGGCGGGGGCTCGGGCGATGATTGGGTAGGGCTGGTAGACGCGAGTTGGATAGTACTTGCTAAAACCCTCGAAGGGAGTGGACTGGTAGTAGCGTGCAGGGAAGTAGCTAGACTCCTTCACGGGGCTCGACTGGTAGTAGCGTGTCGGGTAAACGCTGTCGTAGTTCTTGAGGTACAGGCTGTCGTAGTTCTTGGGGTAGCTCTCGTAGCCGAAAATCCTGGGATAGCTTTCGTAGTCGTAGCTTTTGGGGTAGCTCTCGAAGCCAAAGCTCTTGGGGTAGCTCTCGTAGCTGAATTTCTTGGGATACGAGCTGCTGGGGTAGAGCCCGTCGGGGTAGACTGAACCAGGGTAGTAGGTGTCGGGGTAGATGTCGGCGCCTTCGAAGTCCATGTAGTTGCGGAAGTACTTCGAGGGCTGGCTCGCGTACGACTCGACACTGAAGAGGTCTCTCGCACTGCGCTCCGTGGAGGGGAGCGCTGCGACGGTGGCAACGAAGGCCAGGGCGACGATGATGACCTTCATGCTGCTGAGCGGGGTGCTGACTGTGGCCTGGACCAGCCCGGCGCCCCGTTTTATGCGTCCACCTTCCACCCTGAGCACTCGCGCACCCCCGATACCGATTCGGAGGTGGCCCGAGTGCCCGTCCGTGCTCTCTACCCCGGTAATGCTGCCTCCGCCGCGAACGCAGCCACCGATAACTGGACGGTCAGTGCACTGCCCCACCCGGCTGGTCTATCTGTCTCGACTGCCATTTTGGATAGACCGGCGGCCTCTGCCAAACGATCTGCCCCGGGGTGAGTCGCTGCGAATGCCCCATTCGCGTGTTGTATCGTCTGCTGTTTTCGTAGTGAAAAAAAAAAGTTTGACGGGAGCGCTTTGCGGTTCCCACCTGCTGCCGACGGCGTTAAAAAAGTTTGTTGCTGACCATTGGCTGATTGTGGAAAGGGGGGAGGGGGGGGGGCGTCAGCTCAGTACAAACGAATTTGGCTGGACAACTTTACACCCATACAAACAAAATGAGAACCTGAATATTCCGCATGAATTTCACATACCAGGTGGCTGATTCACGCCGCGCACTTCTGTAGTTATGCTGTACCGCATGCACGAGTGCGGGCGGGCTTGCCTATCGCCCCTGTCCACGGCG